CCATGTGTGAGTGACAGGGCCCATCTTTTCATCAGCAGCTGTGAAAAATGTGCATCTCCAGACCCCTCTGCTGGAATTGAAGCCTGAGACTCCCCAGTTCATGGAACTGAGCCTACAGACATACCAGAGGGCAGTCACTGCCATGGCAAGTGGGGGTCCTCCTTGCCACTGCCATGCACTTGTGTCAGAGTCACAGGTTTGTCTGCAGCCAAGGGGTAAAGTTCAGGCCTGTATGCAGCAAAGGCCTCTGACAGTGGCCACCCAAGAGCCACAGCTACGCAGTTTGGCACGCTGGCTCGTCCACATAGAAACCCTGGCCAGGGATGAGTCTGCTTAAATTGCAAACCCCCTCTAGTGGGTACAACTAGTAATTAGCATCTTTAATGAGAGTCCTAACCCCAGGTGTCCTCTTTCCCCCAGTGCTGGGAAGGGCCGGGCCCCAGCCTGGTGACAGGGCTCTAACAGGGCTCAGGCCTGCACACAGGTTAGGGAGTGTGACCTGAGACAGTGGAGAATGATAGACAGTGGATCTGGGGAAGGCAACAGTTCCATCCTGAGCTGATCTTCCATGCAGCCCTTTCTGGCACAGATCCCTACAGCACTTAGCATGTTTCATGTGTGTGCCAACACAAAGCCCAACTTGTGCACACTTTCTTCTCCTCATGCCTATGCTAATGCTCATGTATCCCCTTCTCCCCTAACCCTGCACTCCCGTCCTGTGCCCCCTTCTCCCCTAACTAATGGTCTCTTTAAGCTGCGCATCAGCACAGCCCCACAGCTACACAGGGTTCTGTGCATGGTGCTGCCTGGCTGGGGGCAGGGCACTTCTCCCTCAATGACAGCAGCAGCTCCTTGCTGCGCGAGTCTCTCCCAGCTGGTAGGGACTGGGAGAGACTCACTGCTCTGTCTTCAGCAGGGAGCTGCTGCTGTCATTGAGGGAGAAGTGCCAGGCAGCACCATGCACAGAACCCTGAGAACCTGGTGGGGTGTGGCTCATGAAGCAGTCGTGGGGCTGTGCAGATTAGAGGGAACCTTGCCTTTCATCCCTGCGCTCCCCTCTTGCGCTCCCTTTTCCCAACCCCTGTGCTTCCCTCTTGTGTCCCCTTCTCCCCAACCCCATTTTAGATTTGGCATTTGGTGATAGTGAAGATCTCATAGATGCACAGGTTGTAAGGAACGGCCTTGGTTCAAGTGATCATGAGCTAATTTAGCTTAAATTAAATGGAAAAATAAACAAAAATAGATCGGCAGCTATGGTTCTTGATTACAGAAGGGCAAACTTTAAAAAATTAAAAGAATTAGGTAAGGGGCTGGATTGAAGAACTCATGGGTCTGAATGTGCAGAAGGCTTGGAATTACTTAAATCAAAGTTGCAGAAACTATCTGAAGCCTCCCAAGCAAGGGGGAAAATACACAGAGAAACCAAGCTGGATGAGCAAACATTTCAAACAGTCGATTAAGAGAAAGAAGAAATTCTACAAGGAATGAGAGATGGGAAGGATCAGCAAGGAAAGCTACAACTTGAACATCGGAGTGTAGGGCAGTGTTTCTTAAAGTGTGTTCCGTGGTACACCTGTGTGCTGCAGAGAACAACAGAATTCAAAATGGCCACCCTTAAAGGGGCAGGCAACTTTTTTTTTGGCTCAATAACTTCCCCCCGACCCTTTCCTCAGTAACTTTCCACCTCACCCTTCTCCTCCTCCCCCCCACCCCCCCCCCGACCTTTTTTTTTTTCAACAAAAAATCCTTGGTGTTTCCCATTAAAAAAATTATTGTTTGATGTTCCTCAGTCTTAAAAAGTTTAAGAAACACTGATGTAGGGGGGAAGTAAGAGCTGCTAAAAGCCAAGGTAAGAAATGGGCTCACTAAGCACTGAGGATGGGGTGGAGATTAACAATAATGTAGGCATGGCCCAATGCCTAACCAAATCCTTTGTCCCACTTTTTAATAAGGCTAATGAGGAGTTTAGGCAGAGTGGCAGAACGGCTTGTAAGAAGGAGGATGTGGAGGTAGAGATTACCTCATCCTAGGTAGAAGTCAAACAGTTTAATGGGACTAAATCGGGGGCCCAGATAATGCCCATCCAAAAATAAAGGAATTGGCATGTGAAATTGCAAGACCAGCAGCAAGGATTTGTAATGAATCTGTAAACTCCGAGTTCATGCCCTAAGGTTGGAGAATTGCTAAGATAGTATCTCATTTTTAAAAGAGGGGAATGGGGGGGATGATCCAGGAAACTATGGGCCTGTTAGTTTGACTTCAATTGTGTACAAGGCCTTGGAACAGATTTTGAAAGAGAAAGTAATTAAACACATAAAGGTGAACGGGATAATACACAACATGGTGTTACAAAAGGTAGTTTGTGCCAGACCTGTCTGATCTCCTTTGAAAAGATAAGTGATTTTTTTAAACAAAGGAAATACAGTAGATCTAATCTACTTTGACTACAGTGAGGCATTTGATACAGAACCATTTCGGTAATTAGAGAAAATGAGGATTGCTATGAGAATTGAAAAGTGGATAAGGAACAGGTTAAAGGGGAGACTTTACAACAGGTAATACTGAAAAATGAATGATCATGCTGGAGGGAAGGCTAATGCAATCCTAGGAGACATCGGGCAAGGTATTTCCAGCAGAGATAGGGAAATGCTAGTGCCATTATACAAGGCACTTGTGAGACCTCATCTGGAATACAGTTGCTTTCAGATTTCTGAGAAATTGTGGACCATTGCTCAATGGAAGGGCAGCAGTTCTGGTCTGCCATGTTTAAGAAAGATGAATTCAAACTGGCACAGGTGCAGAGAAGGGCTACTAGGGTGCCCAGAGGAATGAAAAACCTACCTTAGAAGAGGAGACTCAGAGCTTGGCTTGTTTAGCATAAGCAAAAGAGCACTGAGGGGAGATGTGATGGCTCAGTACATAACAGGGAAAAATGCCAGGGAGAGAGAGGAGTAGTGTGGACACAAGAACTATGGCTTTAAACTGGCTATCTAGAAGTTTAGGGCTGAAATTAGGCAAGGATGAAGGTCTGGAACAGCTTTCCAAGGGAATAATGGTGACAAAAAAAAACCTAACTGGCTTCAAGGCTGAGCTTGATAACCTTATGGAGGGGACTGTATAATGAAGCTGCCTAAAAGCATGTAACCAACTTGCAACTACTAGTAGCAAATATCTTCCAACAGCCAATGATGAATATTAGAAGTAGGGAGGTCTCTGAGTGACTACAGAGGATTTTCTCCTGGGGTCAGATGTTGGGTCTTGCCAAAATGCTGAGGAGCCAACTGATTGCCATATGTGGGTTGTAGAAGGAATTTTTGCTTGGATCAGATTGGCAGAGACCATGTGAGGGAAAGGAGCTTGCCTTCCTCTGCAGCTTGAGGCAGGGGTCACTTGGTCATTTCAACTAGTGTAAATGGCAGATTCTCTGAAGCCTTTAAATCATGATCTGAGGACTTCAGTAACTCAGCCAGAGGTCCGGGCTCTGTTACAGTCTATTAGAGTTCTTTGAAGGGGTTAACAAACATGCGGACAATGGGGATCCAGTAGATATAGTATACTTGGATTTTCAGAAAGCCTTTGACAAGGTCCCTCACCAAAGGCTCGTGTGTAAATTACATGGCCATGGGATAAGAGGGAAGGTCCTTTCTTGGATTGAGAACTGGTTAAAAGACAGGAAACAAAGGGTAGGAATAAATGGTAAATTTTCAGATTGGAGAGGGGTAACTAGTAGTGTCCCCCAAGGGTCAGTCCTGGGACCAATCCTTTTCAACTTATTCATAAATGATCTGGAGAAAGGGGTAAGCAGTGAGGTAGTAAAGTTTGCAGATGATACAAAATTGTTTAGGATAGTCAAGACAGAAGCAGACTGTGAGGGACTCCAAGAAGTTCTCACCAAACTGAGTGATTGGGCAACAAAATGGCAAATGAAATTTAATGTTCATAAGTGAAAAGTAATGCACATCGGGAAAAATAACCCCAACTATACGTACAGTATGATGGGGGCTAATCTGGCTATGACAAATCAGGAAAGAGATCTTGGAGTTATTGTGGACAGTTCTCTGAAAACTTCCACGCAGTGTGCAGCGGCAGTCAAAAAGGCAAATAGAATGCTAGGAATTATTAGGAAAGGGATAGAAAATAAGACCCAAAATATCTTGCTGCCCCTGTATAAAACTATGGTTCCCCCATATCTTGAATACTGTGTACAGATGTGGTCTTCTCACCTCAAAAAAGATATTTTGGCCTTGGAAAGGGTTCAGAAAAGGGCAACTAAAATGATTAGGGGTTTGGAACGGGTCCCATATGAGGAGAGGTTAAAGCGACTGTGACTTTTCAGTTTAGAAAAGAGGAGACTGAGAGGGGATATGATAGAGGTCTATAAAATCATGAGTGGCATGGAGAGGGCCGATAAAGAAAAGTTACTTATTAGTTCCCATAATAGAAGAACTAGAGGACACCAAATGAAATTAATGGGGAGCAGGTTTAAAACGAATAAAAGAAAGTTCTTCTTCACACAGCGTGTAGTCAACCTGTGGAACTCCTTGCCAGAGGAGGCTGTGAAGGCTAGGACTATAATAGAGTTTAAAGAGAAGCTAGATAATTTCATGGAGGTTAGGTCCATAAAAGGCTATTAGCCAGGGGATAAAATGGTGTCCTTGGCCTCTGTTTGTCAGAGGCTGGAGAGAGATGGCAGGAGACAAATCGCTTGATCATTGTCTTCGGTCCACCCTCTCTGGGGCACTTGGTGATGGCCACTGTCGGCATACAGGATACTGGGCTAGAAGGACCTTTGGACTGACCCAGTACGGCTGTTCTTATGTTCTGTGTATGTTCTTACAGGAGAGAGGTTCTGTGGCCTGCGGTATGCAGGTCATCAGACTAGATGATCATAATGGTCCTTTCTGCCCTTAAAGTCTATAAAATAGATTATATCAAAATGCAATTACATTTCAGCTGCCTGTGTCTGAATGCTTTTCCCTCTGATCTGCTCTGTTTTATAGTGTCTTTAGCTTCTAGCACAGTTGGTTTGGCTGGACAAGTTGTCCACACAGAAACCACTGAAGTAGCGCTGACAGCAGATCCCATTGTAGGATTTGGGATACAGCTCCAAGGTAGTGTGTTTGCTACTGAGACCTTGTCTTCTCCACCTCTGATTTCATATATTGAGTGTGACAGCCCAGCAGAAAGGTGAGTCTCTTTCAGATGATTGCTTGTAACTGAATCTTGCTGGGGGTGGTTTGGTTCAGTTGCTTTCAGATTTCTGAGAAATTGTGGGCCATTGCTCAATGGATGGGCAGCATGTAATGAACTCTCTGATCTGATAATAAAAAAGATTATTCTTGTTCAGGAGTAAGACAAATAATAAGCACCACTGTCTTTATCTTGTTGATTCCTTCAACAGCAGTCCAGAGGTTAAGTTAATTAAAAAGGAGAGAATTCGTTTTGAAAAAAAAATTGAAGTTCAGAGCTAGGAAATTCTTTATAGTGGAGGAAACTGCATCCACCACTGCCAAGTTGTAGTGAAGATCACAACATAGGAAATGCTTGCGTTTCGAATTATTAATTACTTTTTTGGAACATTTCAACTGCACCTGCTTGTTTACAAGTGTATTTGTAATAACATGGTTTCATGCAGAACCACATTGGTTCTATAGTAGATACAGCTGCTAGCTGCCACTGCATAGAATAAGATAATACATCATCCTTTTTAAAGGTTAGATGAGATTTATTTTGTATAATGCGATACTGGTTGCCTGTACATCTGAAGGCTAATTTTTATTATTGTGTATCAAGGTGTGGAGTTCTACAAATAGGAGACAGAGTAATGGCGATAAATGGAATCCCAACAGAAGATAGCACGTTTGAAGAAGCTAATCAGCTTCTCAGAGATTCTTCTATCACCAGCAAGGTCACTTTAGAAATAGAGTTTGATGTTGCAGGTATGAACATACAATCTTTTTTTTTCCTTGTCAAGACAATATTAGGAATGATTCCCATGTGCATTTTATTTGATAGGCACATGAGGCAAGAACTTTATTTTCACATGTGCCATTTGTTTGGGAAGCAGCTACTCTTACAGTTGTGTCTTTTTGTGAAGTTCCCATATTGCATGTGGCCCTCCTTAGTGTGCATCACAACCCCAGTGGAAATGACAAATGCCATAGAAAGTTAGTGACAGTTAGTCCCTATTGTTTGTTCTTTGTAAACATATTTCTGTTCAAAGTTAGACTTATAGCTCAGCAGAATATTCTTAAATGTATTATAATCTTTTACAGAGTGTTGTCTGTTAGCAACATGTTTTGCTATGCAGAAAAGTGTTATGTACGCAATAGATTAGTGACAAATTCTTAATGGTCCCATTCTTGAGGTATGGACCAGACAGAATATTAATAGAATTTCATCTTTAAAAACCAACCATATAAATTATATACAAAACTTTAGATTACTATAAGTCAGGAAGATACATAGTTTTCTGTGCATCCTTTATTTTCCCGTGGCTCGTCACCTTTTTAAAGTTACTGAAGCATAGATAATATAAAACCACAGATTATAAATGGAATATGCACAGTGTATAAACAACATACACCCAAAACACACGAACACACCTGCTATATATCTAATATGTACTTTAAATAAAATATTAAGACATCTCCACTCATTTAGTAACAGCTCCTCAGAAGTCATTTCTGTGTCCATCCTGCAGTGATTTTGCAGGGTTTAATTATTTTATTAATGGAATTTGATGTAATAGTCAGGTTATGCAAAATCCCAGCTAAGGATTGCTACAATTATAATTATGAGTGATATCATAGCATAGAAATTTCCATTAAGGTGTGGCCAGACTATAACATATTATCCATACATTTTTATACATAGCAAATACAATGTTCAGAATGACACCCTGTTCAAACGGTGAGCAAATATTTAAATCTGTCTGAGGTGACAAATGAAAATGACTTTCATGTTTCAAAATTCCTGTTCCCAATAATTTCTATTGCAAAATTCCCATTGAGTTCACCAGAGTAGAATAAATGGTGGATATGTATTTACATCTCTAAACCACTTCAACATGCTGTTTAATTTATCTGAGACAACAGAAATGCCACAATACAGGACTGGGATATAGTGCTGTGTGTTCAAACTTTCATTGCCTCAGCTGTGCGTTTGTTCCTTTACTTTTCATGAGAAATAAAATGTACTGCTGTTATTTAGGTGATTCTTTCAAAAATACACGAAAAAGTGTCTGAAATCATAAGGACATACTTTATGTCTTTTTAGTTAAAAGCTACCCGACAACAGTACATTTGTTCTCGCACATACAAAAGTGCATCTCAGCTGAGATACTGTGGGCTAAGCCGCTGGTAGGCACATGCAGTCTCCATCAGCTGAGATTTAACTGCAGAATAATAGAGTTACAGGACCTTAACTTATGCAGTGACGTTATCATCACTGATGTAAAACATCCTGTGTGTCATGCTCCTTTCAAATCAACTCCTACGTTGTTTTTATGAATGAGTAGATGCAATGTACTACTAATGTGTCCTGTAAATCACCTACTTTTAATTACAGAATCAGTTATACCAAGTAGTGGAACATTTCATGTAAAACTACCAAAGAAGCATAACGTGGAGCTTGGGATCACCATAAGTTGTAAGTAATTATGATTAATTTTAAGCCCATTATTGTAGGTTATTAAATAGCTAAAAGTGTATAATATCCTGGACTGTATTCAGTTTCAATTGAAATACCTCTGTGTGTGCTATTCCCAGCATCTGATATTTAGCAACATGGCATCAACTCTCTGGGTGCTTTAGGGCTGGAGCATCCATGGGGAAAAAATGGTGGGTGCTCAGTACTCACTGATAGCCAATTCTCCCCCTTCTCCCAACACTTTCCACCCATCTGCAGCCTTGCAGCTCTGACCCCTGCACATCAGCACCTCCCACCTCTGCACATCAGCTGTTCCATGAGGTGCAGGAAGCACCAGGAGGAAAGGGGAGGAGCGAGAGCAGGTACAATTGGGAGAGGGAATGAGATGGGACAGGAAGAGGAGAGACAAGGTGAGGGCTGGGGGAGCGAGGAGAGAGGAGGAGTGGGAGCAGGGTCTTGGACAGAGCTGGGGAGCCTGGTAAGCAGTGCTATCTTGTATCAAGTTTCTCCTAACTCATTTGTAGTTTCCTTATTATGTTTATAGCTAGTTGAAGAAGCATGGGCAGCTTTACCAAAACTTAAATTTGACTTTTTTAGTAGATACATGCCCCAGTTCAGTAAAGAACTTAAGCAGATGCAGAATCCCAGTGAAGTCATTTTACAAACAGAAGCCAATGAGACTTTGGTACAAGCAAAAGTTATTTTCTGAGAAGGCAAACTTTCTTGCATCAGGGCCAATATTTGCAAAGTTAAGCTCCCAAGTCCTGAAAGTGGCTTCTGTACTTACTTCAGAGGGACTCCTCCTGGTTGAAGGGATCCACACAAGGAGTCATTTGCTGCATCAGAGCCCAAAACTATACTTTTAACAGTGTCAATGCCAGGAGATCAGCAACACTTCAGTGACACACCAAAAGTGGACATGTAGAGGAAAATTTAATTTATTTAAGGAAACTGATTTCACGTGAAAATAACAATGAGACAAAATGTATTTATTAATTTTTGTAACATTTGGACATTATTTTATATTGAAATAAAAAAATTATTTTTTCTATTTTTTTCCCAGCAGCCAGTAAACCTGTGTCTGGGTTGTAATTTGACCTTGTTCAACCTACCCACAATCCCATTAAAGTTAATGGGTGTTATGCATAGAGCATGGATGCCTGTGATTAATCTGGCCTGATGGGATTTAAAATTTCATTGCATTTTGGCCTTACTTACACTAATAGCTTTATTCAGACTTATGTTTATGCAGAAAGCTTTGTAGGTTTTTTTGTGGGCTTAAATTTATAGTCTCAAAGCTTTTAGCAGCACGACAGATTAAAATTAGTCAAAAGTGCAGTGAAGAATTCAGCGCTATGATTGGCATCTGAAGAACAAATGAGATATACTACTCTAGGCTCAGCTTATGTTCTCATTTGTTATATATGCATATCAAGAATTGTTATACTCAGTACGGAATGTAGTTTGAAGCAAATTAAAATCATAGATCTGTCAGCAGAAGGATTGGTAAACACATGAAACATTCATACAAATAAAAATAGTGAGCAGTGGTTCTATTTTGCTATCAGGCCTTGGCTCAGTGTTGTTTTCCTGATTGTGTTTGTATTTATATGAAGATGCATATTTTTCTCACTATGTTTGTCTCAGAAGGGTAGTCATATTAGTCTGTAACTTTAAAAACAACAAGTTGTCTTCTGGCACCGTAGAGACTAACTGATTTAGGGTACGTCTAGACTGTAGAGTTAAACTAAGCACAAGCCAACATTTTTTTCAGAAGAGCAGACGTGTTTTCTTGGCATTCTTGTAAACCTCATTTTGTGAGGAAGAAGGGATGTTCCAAAAAAGTGGTTTTTTTCCCCACATTTGCCTCAGTGTAGATGGGCCAAATGTTGGAAATGCCTCTTCAGAAAAAAGAAACAGAAAAAGCTACACAAATTGCAGTTTGCAATTTGCGTATCTTTTTTCAGAAGAACTGTGTAGTCTAGACAGAGCCTTAGTCTCAAAGGTGCCCCAGCACTACTTGTCTCTATATTTGGTGTAATATACAGGTTTTAAAGAGTTTGTCCTCACCCTGATTAACTAAAATGTTGAACACTTGTTTGATAGCTTTCAGACCCTTTGTAAAGCTTTGTGTTAGTGCTGCTTTTGCTTAGTTTAATACTTTGTTTTCTACCTGATTAACTCAAAAAAGAGCCATTGTGATTTAACAGGGTGAATAGTTTTACACCAAGGATATTTATAGCACATTAATATCAGCATGGCATTTACTAGTATTTTTTATAATGATTTATTTTAAAAAACAAAATGAAAATGGAACAGATCAATGGAAAAATCTGCATGTGCTGTGGGAGTAATTTAATTCTCCATAAAGTTGGCGTTACCAAGCTTAGAGCATAAGTGCTGCATGGGATCAGGTGATATAGTATCCATTTGGGCTAGATGTTGGTAAATACTGCAGGTACTCTGTAGTCACTACTCCTGCAGGCACTCTGATGGGGGTAATTTCTGGTACCTCTTTTTGTTCATATATAAAGGCTCTAGAAGAGCTAGTGGGGTACTCAGTCTGAGATGCCACTTGCATGTAAAGACGTATGTGACATCTTTTCTTTTTCTGTGTCTGGTTTAATTTTGTATCTGGATGAGAAAGCTGATTGATAAGCAATCAAAATAAAATACAGGACTATGTAGCACTTTAAAGACTAACAAGATGGTTTATTAGGTGATGAGCTTTCGTGGGCCAGACCCGCTTCTCAGATCAAATAGTGGAAGAAAATTGTCACAACCATATATACCAAGGATACAATTTTAAAAAAGAACACATATGAAAAGGACAAATCACATTTCAGAACAGAAGGGGAATGGAAGGGAGGAAGGTAAATGTCTGTGAGCTAATGATATTAGAGGTGATAATTGGGGAAGCTATCTTTGTAATGGGTAAGGTAATTAGAGTCTTTGTTCAAACCTAAGCGTAAAGTGTCGAATTTGAGCATGAATGACGGTTCAGAGGATTCTCTTTCAAGTGTATTCTTAAAAGGCTTTTGAAGCAGGATGCAGGTAATTAAGTCGTTGAGACAATGTCCTTTCTGGTTGAAATGGCAAGAAACTGTTTTTTCTTTGTGATCCTGTCTAATATCTGTTTTGTGGGCATTGATCCTTTGGCGAAGTGTCTGAGACGTTTGTCCAATGTACATAGCAGACGAACACTTTCGGCACATGATAGCATAACTTATATTTCTGGATGCGCAGGAATATGTGTTATTGATCTTATAATTCACTTGGTTAGGTCCAATGATGGTATCAGCAGAGTAAATATGTGGACAAAGCTGGCAATGGGGTTTGTTGCAAGGGAAGGTACCAGGATTGGTATTAGTGTGGTATGTCCTGTGGTTGTTGGTAAGACTCATCTTGAGGTTAGGTGGTTGTCTATAGGAGACTATGGGTCTGTCTCCCAGAGCCTCTCGGAGTTTAGTATCCTGTTCCAGTATAGGCTGTAGTTTATTGATAATGTGTTGGACAGGTTTAAGTTGGGTGCTGTAGGTGATGACAAGTGGTGTTCTATTGTTGGTTTTCTTAGGTCTGTCTTGAAGTAGATGGTTTCTAGGTATTCGTCTGGCTCTTTCAATTTGCTTTTTTATATCTCCGGGTGGATAGCTGAGGTTTATAAATGCTTGGTAGAGATCCTGAAGTTTCTGGTCTCTGTCAGTGGGATTAGAGCAGATGCGGTTGTATAGGAGGGCTTGGCTATAGATGATGGATCGTATGGTGTGTTCTGGGTGGGAGCTGGAAGCATGTAGGAAATGGATCTCTTGTGTAGAGTGGTCCAGGCTGAGATTGATGGTGGGGTGTAGGTTGTTAACCCTACCATCAATCTCAGCCTGGACCACTCTACATGAGAGATCCATTTCCTGGACACCACAGTACAAATCAGCAATGGAAAATTAGACACCACTCTCTACAGAAAACCCACTGACTCGTACAGTTACCTATATGAAGAATTCATATGCATACTTGTAAACCAAACTACTAGCTTTCACACAACCCTAGTATCAGCTCTCTCTCTAAATAATGGGTGTGTCAGATGCTGCTCTAACACCCACCAGTTTATTCACTTGACCTCCCAGAAGAAGATCTTTTCAGAGTTCCTCAAAATTATTTAAAGGGGTAGAAATTCCCTTAGCATTCTCCTACTGCCTGTGAAAGGCCTATTTTCCATTAATATTAATATGCTTTGGATCAAGAATCTAGCCCATAGTCTGTCAAGATAAGTGAGTATATCTTTTGTACCGCAGTTAGCACCAGTTTCATACCCAATTAACTGCTGCTGGAAATCAGAACTTCTCAATATTTTAACCAGGCCACAGAAAAAAGAACTGTGTAAATAACTAATTTTTTGGTTCAGGAGCTGAACTAAAAACTGGGGGTAGAAGGGATTCATTTCAGGTTGACCCAAAAAGAAATAGTTTCTTTTTTTTCCCCAGCAAAACAAGAGTTGAAAAATTTAGTTTTGGATCCAACAAAACATTGTGGGACCCAAAGGATCTGGATTTGGGGATTTTTAAATATTTTTTTACTCTATATAAAAATAAAATTGAAACAAAATGTGAAATAAGTAATTTAAATTTGAAAAATTAAAATAATTTTTTTTAAACATTCTGAGATTTTTGTTTCCAGTCAGGATAATTTGGTGAATTCAACTGACCTGAATTTGCATTTTTTGGCAAACAATTTTTATCCATTTTTTCCCAGCTTTAATGGGACCACATATGACACGACAGTATGCTAGGCAATATCAGGGGGTTTTTTTCCTCCAACAGAGCTATTTTATGGAAATTAATAAAGAGGTCAGCCCTCCGTAATTATAAGGCATTTAAATTTGATTTAATTTATTTGCCATCTAGATGGATTTTTTGAGACACAAGCTACTTTCATGGGCACATATTTTAAAAATACATCGAAGGGGTCAGAAAGATATATTTGCTAACAAAAATTTATTTTCTTACGTTCTGTATATCAAACACCAAAACATTGTGACAAAGCTTCTCCTCAACCTTGGTGGGTTCTGTGCTTTCAGGCAGATTACTTGCCTCAGAGGCTCACAGCAGCCCTCCATTTAGACACTAGCTTGCTGTTTGTTGAACTGCTCTCAACATTGGCCAACATGGGAAAAAAGGGGAAACCAAACTTCATAGTCTCTGTGGCCCCTCCCAGTGGTATAGAATAGGACAAACTCTTGTACCAGAGCCAATCTCTTTTTAGTATTGAAAGGGGGGGTTGGTGGTAGAGGAAACCTAGCCCCACCCTCTACTCTGAGTTCTAGCCCAAGGACCCTGTGATAGCAGCTGCCTGTAAGGTCTCTATGGCTGTGTCCAGACTCAGGGTTTTTTTCGAAAAAAGTAGCCTTTTTTCGAAAAAACTTCACCTGCGTCTAGACTGCAGCCGCGTTCTTTCGAAATTAAATCGAAAGAATGCGGCTTTTCTTTCGACGGTGGTAAACCTAATTGCACGAGGAAGAATGCCTTCTTTCGAAAGTGCTCTTTCGAAAGAAGGCGTTCTTGAAAGCAAACAGGCTTTTTAGAAAGAGAGCATCCAGACTCACTGGGTGCTTTCTTTCGAAAAAGCGGCTTGCTTTTTCAAAAGTTCCGTGTGCAGTCTAGACGCTCTCTTTCGAAAGAGGCTTACAGTCTAGACATAGCCTATAATATCTGCATTACAGCTCCCTGGTCCACTCCCCCACAGCCTTCCCAAACACCTTCCTTAAGCACAGGTTCTTCCTCCTTATACTTAGTTGCACTTTCTCTTCCCAGACTCTACACAACACTTTTTGTCATCAGCTCCTTTCTCACACACTGAGCAAACAGAAGGGAAGCCTTTTAAAACCAGACTCAACTTAATTAGGGTCTTAATTGGTCCCCAGGTGTTCTGATTAGTCTGGCTCCTTTGAGTCTGGAAGCATCCTAATTGGTTCCAGGTGTTTTAATTGGCCTGATTGCTCTGATTCTGACAGGTTCTTGCTGGCTCTGGAGCAGCCGTTGTTAGCCTACTCTGGGAACAGGGACCTATTTAATCTAGAGCTAATATAGTTCCCTTCTATAATTCTCTGGATGCATCTGCCTCATCCTGTCACAAAGCCTCCCTTTTCTGCTCAACACCATAGAGTTTGGCAATTGGGGTTTGGCAAAGCCTCAGAGGCGCGGGACCCCCCCGCGGCTGTGGCTTCAGTCCGGGAGCCTGTGGTCTGCTGGGGACCGTCCCCAGCAGACCACAGGCACCCAGACTGAAGCCGCAGTCGCAGGGGGGGCCCCCGCCCCTCCGGCCTTT